CCAAGAGAAAATGGATTTTCCTTCTTGTTAAATGTCAATTACAATTTTACCAGTTTTTTTATAAGATATCAGAAAAATTTTATCAACACATCTATGGTTATCTTAAAACTAGCCTATTTTAATAATAAATTTGCAACAAGGTTTTGATAGGGTTCCTTGAATTTCCCTATTAGGTTCTAATTTTTACTTCCTTATCAGGTCCTCCTTAAACAAAAAAAGCGCAACAGTCCTACTCATATCCACATAGGGTGGTCCTTGTCAGGACCTTGTGTGAATCGAGAGGTTATACCCTGTCAAGTTCACGATAATAACTTCTAGTCGGGTAGGTACCCACAACTGCCCGACAGACACGCGTTTCATATTCCCAAACGGTGTTATTATTATTTAGGCTATAACTGCATACTTTCCATTTTTCAATTGACAGTTAAATATAACATTGAAATAACTTTTTAGACTTTCACGGCGAGTGTCCACGCATTCCCGTTTCCGTACTGTGTCGGGCACCGCCAGGTGGCAAATTCAATCTTGTGGCTATATTCTTTTGTTCAAATCAGCAGAATCGCTGCAAAAGCTGAAGCCTACATTAAATCCCAACGTCATAATTAGCCAATAAAGAAAAATATACTTTGAAATTCTTCGCTGGCATCACATTTTATTTATCTGCTAATATAATTCGTACTGGTTCAGATGAGCTACCAAAGAGAACTGACTTTAATTAAAAAATTTTTATGTGTTACCTTCTGGGAAAGGTGCTACCGTTTGATATTAAAAATTTAGCGGCATTATCAATTAATATGTTGTTCCTTTGAATTCAAAAATCTACAGCAAATGGAAATCATTAATTGCGTTCTAAATAGCCCGTATCATTTATCCGATCAGGAAGAAATCAGACCACAATGGTCACGATCAAATAACTGCTTAACATATCCGTATAGTGATAAGCAACAAGGTAAATAAATGCCTCGAGCTTTCTCTTTTTGTTCGCACTAAAAGCTTTGGTATTTAACGTTTCGTCGTGTTGCGATTTTAAAAACGTTTTCCACTCATTTAGTCGATTAATAAAATGTTTTTCGTTGTCGCGGCAGTCAACGCGTTGCTACCATTGATAACGTTAATAGTATCGTCTCGAAACGACGTTGTTTTCGTGGTTGTTTATTGGTCGAATGGATAGAACGGGATCATACGACCGACTAACAGTATGAGAGAAAGAGAGGACCCGTCACCCGTCACTTATTCGACGACTTCCTCTTGACGTTTTTCACTTTTTCACGCTCCGCAACAAGATATTGCCACTGAAAGCTTTACCTTGTCGTCATTTGAAAGCAACAGCTCAACCTACTGCGATTGTGGACGCATCACGGACTTAATTTAACGGTGACGGTGGTGACAGCGTTTTCAACACGAATCCAACAATATGCGAAGACTATTTACAACAAAAACAAAAAAAGAAGGAAAACTACTGTCACCAGAAAAATACCACAACAGAGATCTTCATTTAAGAAGTAGCAATTTGAAAACCAATTTCCATCAAAACAAATTAAAAAATGAATTTTGAAATTCGGAAAATATTGTTAATGGTGTACGTTTGGAGTAAAGCGCTGTAGGGATGCGAAATATGGACTGTGGGCGCGAGGGAAACGAAAAGGTTAGAAGCGTTTTAAATGTGGTGTTGCAGGCGAATGATGAGGATACGGTAGATAGAGAAGGTTAGAAACGGAGAGTTATTAGAAAGAATAGGAGAACAGAGGACTGTATGGAAGTCAATAAGAAATAGGCGAGATAGGTTGATAGGATACCTTCTCAGGCGGCATGGCCTAGAGGTCTAGACCATTGCTTAGCATTCGGGAGGACGCGGGTTCGATTCCGGGTCCGTCTGCCTTGGTCCAAGTTTTTCTGTGGTTTCCTTGGATCACTTAGGCAAATGCTGAGGCAGTAATATTCCACAGATAATCTTTCACTCTCTTCTGTCTTCATTTCGTCCGTCTCATCTTTCTCACCCGAACCATCACCCACCCATTCCCACGATTCCTGAAAGCAGGCTGAAGAGGGCCTTCCGCCCTACCTTCCGGCATAGTCCGGAGGGACTGCCCGCCCACCAGCATTACTGGCTGGTGGGAATGAAACACCCAAAAGTTTTTTTTTTTCTCAGGCATGAAGGACTAGTCAAAGACACTAGAAGCAGATGTAGGGTTTAAGAGGAGTAGAAGTAGACCTAGATTAGATTACTGTTTAAGGATTTGGGATGTTCTAGTTTTAGGGAACTGCGAATATTAACTCAGGATAGAAAGGAGTGAAGGTGCGTGTCCTACCAGTCCTTATGATGGTGATGAATTCAAAAAGATAAAGTTATTATCACATAATGTACTTTGAGATTTAAATAAAGACTAACAACTGATTTCACTTTCTTGCCATTTAGCCAAAAACCCCCTAAAAAGTGCCCCTTTCATTAGATATTCTAAGGTAACCACAAAATTGAGTGAGTTTGAAATTGGCAAATTACACCCATCACAATGGGCAGCTTTTTAGTAGATAGGAAAGCAGAAATTTTGAAAATAAAATAGCCGATGTAGTTACCATGATTGAACATTATTCCATCTCCCATAAATGGATTTCAAATCCATCATGAGGCAAAAAGACGTGTAGCCATGATGCGATGTAAGTAATTAATTTCTGCAATACCAGCACGATCTCGATAAACCAAAGTGGTCTATTATATTTCTCTAATTGAGGTCTAAATCGTGCGTTATATCTCTCGTTTGTAAGTGCAACTACATCAGGCAAGAAAGGTATTGGTACACAACACACTAGATGTCCTTCTGTCAATACTACAACATATTATTGTTCTATCTTTTCGTTCACGGTTCACGGACTGTTCGAAATGACCGGAGAAGAAGACGAAGAAGACGACGAAGAACGAGAGCGAGAGCAACATGGGCAATGTATACCTAATCATGCATCCGTCGTGGTCGTCGTTCAAGTCGCGGCTATATAGCCGATAATCGTGATGTTTTAATAGCTCTTTTACAGCTAACTTTGTCGTATTAATACTAATGCATTGTGTCGTAAATTACGTTGAATTACTTAGAAAACGGCCCGTGGCTTATCAGCGTCCGCTGTCATTTCTAATGGCCTGTGCGTATGAGTTAGAATGTCGCGGACATGAAAAATTGGAAATGGACGAGTGCTTATTTACGAGCAATTGCCACAGTCGAGTTTACGATTAAATAACGACCAAATTATGGCCGCGACAGCTACGCGATTGGCCTTTTAACAATCGCCTTTTTCCTTTCGTCTACTACTTCTTCGTCTTCGTCTTGTTCTTTTCTCGCAACTGGACACTCGCCAGGATTATTACACGAACGCAATATACAAGAAGAAAACAAAACACTCGAGAAAACTTGTCATGCCGAAGTGAAGAGAAGAAACAAAAAAAGTAAACGATATATCTGAGGAATCCCGGCAAAAATTTTGTAATTTTCGAGTTTCACAACAACATAATGCAGACCTAATCTGTTCAGCTAATGATGCATAGAAAATACGAAATATTTAGCTACACAACGTGCACTTTTTAGGCATTCATTTACCTATAGGAAATATTACTTATTTTAATCATCGTCATCATCATAAGGTCGTCTGTCCTAAGACTGGTCGGACATGCACATCCACTCTTTCCTATCCTGAGCTAAACTTCGCATTTCCCTAAAACTAGAACTATTTGCAAATAGTAATCTAATCTAGGTCTACCTCTAACCCTCCTAACTTCCGTTTCGGCCTCTAAAATGTCTCTGACTAGACCTTCATGCCTGAGAAGGTGTCCTACTAACCTATCTCGCCTATTTCTTATTGTCTTTCATAGAGTCCTCTGTTCTCCTATTCTTTCTAATACCTCTTCATTTCTAACCTTCCCTATCCACAGTATCCTCGTCATTCACCTGTAACACCACATTTCCAACGCTTCTAACCTTATCTTTTCCGCCGCACGCACGTCTATGTTTCGCACCCGTACAACTTTTTCCGAATTTCTAAATTAACCGTTCGCGAACATAGAAGTGACTTCTTTTTATTTAAGGCATCTCGACCCTGCGCCATCATCTGCTTTATATCCCTACTACTCTTTCCGTCCTAACTTATCTGACTTCCTAGATACCTAAAATCGGCCACTTCTTCAAATTTTTCGTCTCCTATCTTTATATCCGCTCTTGCCCTACTTTTTCTTCCCTTGCATCCAGTATTTTTGTGTTACTTTTACTTATTTTCATACAGTACTGTTTTGTCAATACCGCTTCCATTTTATTTAAAGCTATAAAGCTAATAAAGCAGTTAATATTACAGCGACTATAAAACAACAATTGTACAGAACCGAACCGAAACAACACATAACAGACGGAAAAATAATTTGTAGACATAGATTTGTAGATTTTATTGTGAAGAGTCATTTTTGAATGGCAATTTCTTTCTCAGTTGTCTCCCGTTTCCATTTTCCAAAAATAACCCAGTCCGGCAAATCATTTACTTCCCACTAAAGCCGATTTAATGAAGATTACGAGAACGGGAGAGGAAAGAGTGGCTGTTGAATATAAAAATGTTGCCGGAGCATTTGGTTCGCGACAGATACGATCAGGAAAAAAATTCTATTAAGCCATTCGTTCCCATTGGATGAATCCTTAATGACCTTTTTACGTGAGTTCAGCTCACCGCGTACAGAATCATCATTTTTATTATAAAATTCAAAATGGCCGATAATTACGACAAAGCGGTAGTTTGGCGGAGGAGGAGGGGTCCTACCGGTGCTGCGGTACAGTTCCCTATCATTACCCTCTATTAGAACGCAACACAGGACGTTCATACTGCCAGTGTAAAGAAAAAACGTGCATCAACACAAAAAAGACCGAGGGTTCTTTTTATTGATTCCACTTGTTCCATTCCCACAAGACTTGACAATCATTTATTGGCATAATATCCATAAATAGATATTTATTATATGTATATTTTTATTCTAGCGTTCCCAATGGTTCGACGAATCGGGCATCCTTATCAAAATCGCACACCCCCAAAGAGAAAGAAACCGCGAACATCGTTTACGAGACTTCAAATAGCCGAATTGGAAAAGAGGTTTCACAAACAGAAATATCTTGCTTCAGCCGAGAGGGCAGCGCTTGCAAAAAGTCTGAAAATGACCGACGCTCAAGTCAAAACGTGGTTTCAAAACAGAAGGACCAAATGGAGGTAATTTTTTTTTTGAATTCATCTTTTTCTCTTGATACATAAGAATTAAACAATTAAGAAGGTTGAGTTATTTAATACAAAAAGAGTTTATGATCAAGAAATCTTAAGGGATCATATTCCACCTACTACAATTTCATATGCTATAAGAAACAGAAAAACATTAAGGAATAAGTTCAATTCCTAGTCCTAGTCCTTGTAGTTTTATTTAGATTTTGTCCAATGTACGTAGCTACACGTATGCGACTGTAAATTTGTTAAGGCAGGTCCTACAAGGATCCGGGCCGGATCCGGTTTAAGGCGAAAGACGAAAACATAAAAAAAAAAAAAACCGGTTTACTACGAATTCTTTTACTATGTCAGCGGCAGCTACCGGCAAAACGCCTTAAAACATTAATTTTACTAATATTGAAGATTCCTTTATAGTTTACATGATCGCTATATTTTAAGAAAAATTTTAGTCCTTAACAAATTACTCCATCTGTTGGAACCCTCGTCATGTTTTCAATGCGAATGTTGTTTGTTTGCAACTTCTGCAATAAAATTCAATCGAAAATAATTCACAAATACAATTAATTAATAACTGTCATAAAAATAACGTTTGCGCCAAGACAGATTTGTCTTAAGAGCGTCACGACCTAAACCTGTCTCTCGTCTCATATTGAGTACCCTAAATAATTTACGATTTAATCAGTTCAGAATCCGCTCGTTTTGAAAGTTTAAGGAGAGAAAGAGAAAGAGAACCCGTTTCTTGACAGCTCAATTCTTCCCGATACGAGAAACGAAACTGCGAAGAGAATAAATACACTGACACAACAAACAAATTAGTGCTACCGTGGATCTCGTAGCCCAGTCGCCGTGAGCAATTTGTTTTGCGCTTCACTTGTCAAACATTAGCGCCGTGGGAGCCTGAAAGATACATGACATCGTTACGGCGCAAAACTAGCCAAGATTTTGTACTAAATTAAGCTCGAAGATGAGCTTCCGTATGACAAATGAATTTGACGGAAACCTCTGTCGCTGCCATTTCAATTTCACACCACGTTGCACAACTCACGCGGTACGACCGACGACAATAATTGTAACTAAATAACAACATTCCGGTTGCCACCAAATTAAACAATAATTTGTTGCTCCCTAATAGCTTAATATAAATATGACATAGGAACGTTATATACGTTCTACTTGATGCCGTACAAGTTACAAGTCTTGACAGTTTTTTTTATCGAATTTCATTTACCTTGTTATAGTATGGTTCCCCCATTCGCCACAGAATGTTTACCCCATCCCACTTAAACTCTGGAATCTACGTTATTACTATTATTATTAT